GGTCGTGACCCCTTTGGGGGTCGAACGACCCTTTCACAGGGGTCGCCTAAGACCATCGGAAAACACATATATAATTACATATTGTTTTTGTGATTAATCACTATGCTTTAATTATGTTCAATTTGTAACAATGAAAATACATCCTGCATATCAGATATTTACATTACGATTCATAACAGTAGCAAAATTACAGTTATGAAGTAGCAACAAAAATAATTTTATGGTTGGGGGTCACCACAACATGAGGAACTGTACTAAAGGGTTGCGGCATTAGGAAGGTTGAGAACCACTGCCTTAGAGAGCCTCTCTTGATTTTTCCCTCCCTCTCCAGCTCTGGGGTTAGACATTAGCCTCCCAATAGGTTCCTACTAAACCCTATAGGTCAGTGATGGCAAACCTATGACACGCGTGTCAGAGGTGACAGGCGAACTCATTTTTTTGGTTGATTTTTCTTTGTTAAATGACATTTAAATATATAAAACAAATATCAAAAATATAAGTCTTTGTTTTACTATGGTTGCAAATATCAAAAAATTTCTATATGTGACACGGCATCAGAGTTAAGTTAGGGTTTTTCAAAATGCTGACACGCCGAGCTCAAAAGGTTCGCCATCACTGCTATAGGTATATATGAGAAGATTTATACAATAGTAGAATGATCTTATTAATTTATCTAATTCCCATGCTAGAGTTGGAGATACTTAAGGACAGAGTCCACTTGTATTTTATATTTCTATACTAGAACATCCCCATAGCACACACTAATTTGTATAACTAAAAGAATGATGATGAGTCCATTCTCCCACCAAATGGGTAAATCAGAGTTATATTGAATGGATATTACTAAAGTCTATTGTCAGCACAGTAAATGAGTTGTATGTGAGAATGACCTTACTTTCAAGGACAATAAATGATAACTTTTAAGAAAGCAATGCCTTAAACAAAGACACTCACTGCTTGTAAAAAGTTAGCTCTATATGTATTTCTACAATAACTTGATAAATAACTTATTGTAAAAATGCTTTCAAAGTAAAGTTACTTTGTGTGTCTCATCTCCTCTACTTCTTTCTGCAGGTGATTCAGACTGACGTGATACAGCATTATCCACTCCAGTTTCAGAAACACCAGGTTTCTCTGCAGAACTCCTCACTTGCAGCGGTGGTTTAATTTTTCCTCTTCGTGATGCTGCTAAAAAGGAGAATGAAGGACTGGTATATTTGTGGGTTTTTAACATTACATATTGCTATTATTGAGGTACTATTTAGATGAGGAAGGTAAAAAAGGAAGGTTCTAGGATGGGTCCCAGGTTTCTGGTTTAGATGAGTAAGTGGATACCATTTACCAAGGTAAGATATGGAGAAAAAATTGGCTGGGGGTGGTGGTGGAAAGATGAATTTATCTTGGACCTGTTAAATTTGAGGAGCCTATTAGACATTAGACAGCAGCCCAGTAGGCAATTTGATTCTGGAAACAGAAAGTCACTATTAAATTGTCATAAAGATTTTAAAAAATTGTCATAAAAATTAAATAAGATGGTATTTATAGCAATTTGTATATAGTATCAGGTTATTTATTTTTATTTAGCTCTTAGTATGTAACAGGTACTGTCCAAATGTTTCACAATATTCCTTGTCATGTGAATGAATGATTTTTACTTAAACCTCTATACAACTTTTATAGAAAAGAAACTGGTTCTAAGCTTAGCTAGAGGATAATCTGTACCATGTACACAGTTGGGAGTGGGGAAACAAGCCAATGTGGCCTAATTCAATGTTTTATCCACTATGTCATTCTACTGCCACTTGTGATATTAAATTATTATGCTGGATATTAATATTTTGAATAATATTTATGTCAATACCCATTAAACCTTTCTTAGTCATTTGAAATTTCTTGACAATTACAAGATATTAGTGGGTCATAGTTTTCAATTTTTATATCCCCAACTTATCCCGCAGGTAAATTATGTACAGAATATCCCTGAATTTAAAAAGGTCTGATTTAAAATATATTAACAGTTGTTAGAAATCTTTTAAGACTGGAAAACTCACATGTGTTGGTTAAATGTAATGGACTTCTCTTGTTGTATATTTCTGCACCAGTAACAAGAATTGAGGCTTCAGACATTTTTCTTTTGCCAGGAGTAAATATCTTAAACCATGAGAAACAACCACAGTAAATACACAATATCTTTTGAAATTAAATATTCTACAATATTCTTCATAACAATTTACCTTAACTATACACAAAAGATATGTGGCATTTTATAAACACTAGAGGCCCAGTGCACAAAATTTGTGCACTCAGGGGGTCTCTCAGCCTGGCTTGTGCCCTCTCACAGTCTGGGAGCCCATGGGGGAGCGGGCCTAAGCCATCAGTCAGACATCCTTAGTACTGCTGTGGAGGTGGGAGAGGCTCCCACCACCGCTGCTGTGCTCACCAGCCGTAAGTCTGGCTCAGGGCTTCTGGCTGAGTGGCGCTCGCCCTGAGGGAGCGCACTGACCACCAGGGAGCAGCTCCTGCATTGAGCATCTGCCTCCTGGTGGTCAATGCGCATCATAGCGACCAGTCATTCTGCCGTTCGGTCAATTTGCATATTAGCTTTTTATTATATAGGATGATGCCCCAAAATTTCTGTTTTAGGCTTTCATTAAAAATTTTATCCTAATATTTGATATTGAACAGGTAGCCAAAACAAGAAAGAAATGTTGTTTTTAAAGAATATTTATAGAACATCTAGACATGTAAAAAAAATTTTTATTGCTACTGAGTTTATCTAGTTAACCAATGGCTCACAGTTTCCTATTCTATTTCATGTAGAGGATGTTTAGACACATATTGATGTAAACTTGTTTGTGAATACATTCATAATGTTAATCATTGTCTAAAACTTTCTCACATTTAAAAATTTGTTTTAATACTTTGTGAAGACTACTAGTAAACTGCCTTTGGAGTAAAAAGTAGCTACAGGAATTCAGAAACTCAATGACACACAAGCTATGAGCTGCATTTTTAACTTCATCCTGGAATGACTGGTAAGAGCCACAGAAGTAGATGAGCAGAGGCAGGGATAATATGGGACAGGAATGTTAGAGGGTACCATATAAAGGAGTAGATGGTGACAAAGTATAGAGGAGGAGGAGAGCTATTTAAAAAAATGCACCTGCCCCTAAGAGAAAAAAATACTGATGGAGTCTGGTATAGGTCTGCATATGGTGCATGGAAGAAAGGTAGGAGAGCACAGGAGAAAAGTGCATTCTAACATTAAGCTGGAAACAAACTACGAAACCAGTTGCTTCTTCTTAAAAAAAAAAAAAAAAAGGCAGTTCCTAGTGGTATAGCAAATGGGACTTGACACAGTTTACTCAATCATATAAATGCTTCAGTGACTCCTTATTGAGGCATCAGACATTTTTCTTTTGCTAGGACAGTGGTTCTCAACCTTCCTAATGCCGCGACCCTTTAATACAGTTCCTCATGTTGTGGTGAACCCCAATTTCATTGTTACAAATTGAACATAATTAAAGCATAGTGATTTATCACAAAAACAATATGTAATTATATATGTGTTTTCCGATGGTCTTAGGCGACCCCTGTGAAAGGGTCATTCGACCCCCAAAGGGGTCGCGACCCACAGGTTGAGAACCGCTGTGCTAGGAGTAATTATCTTAAACCATGAGAAACAACCACAGTAAACACACAATATCTTTTGAAATTACTGAAAACATAGTGGCTATTTCACAATACTGCAATATTTTAAAACTTTACTGTGCTTAAGATCTTTCCCAGAGGTTTATGATTTAGTAGTTATAAGGGGATGGGGGGAAGAATCCAAGAATCTGCATTTTAATAAGTACTCAAGTTATGATTCTGATATAAAGACACAAAAATGCCTTTTACGATATAATCATCTAAGGAAATTATGACATTTTAAATTTAATGACAGACACAAGATTAAAGGGAAAAATCATAACAAACATGATTAAATGTATGGAAAAGCCTGTGTGATTTATAGTTGCTTAAAGGTAAGAGATTAGTAAACACTGAAATAATCAGAAAAAAACTCCAGGAAGAAGAAAAATGAACCAAGATTTGCAAATGTATGTACACCTTAGATGAATAAAGGTAAAATAGGAACAAACAATTTAAGTAAAAGTATAGAGGCAAGAATGACCATGACATAAAAGAGAGTAAAGCAACTGACCTTCTCAAAGTGAAGGGCATTTTAATATAGTAAAATTGTAGTCTCAGAACAGAGTCAAAGGTTAGACTGAGTGAGTTCAACACGGATCACAAAGTTTTCTGAGCAGAAAAGTGCTAATATTAAGAAAAACCAGTGTTTACCATATAAGGTAGTCACAGGAAAAACAATGTTCAAATAAAATCAATTAAGAGGTTACTATGTTAACTGAGGTAAGTTAAAGTGAGCAATGAAAGGGAACAAGGAGGAGAGTAGGGAGATATAGGAAACACAATCACTAACACCTTGGTTGTAGTAAGGGGGAGAAGAGGCTGGAATCAAGGATACTGTCAATGGTGCATAATGGAAGTATGAAGGCAGATACAAATTTGAGGTGAAAGATAAAGACTTATCTGTTAGACTTCAGAAAAGGGCTTGAGGAGACATAGAGAAGGAAATACTAAAACAGTAAGTGGAGATGTAGCTATAGAACTTTAAGAGCTTAAATTAATGCACAGGAAGGAAGCTGGCTAAAGGAGAAGGCATAGAGATTTTGGGTATGAAGCTTTGAGAATAAATCTACTTTCTGGAGGTAGGGAGAGACAGTATTTCTGATACAGTAATAGAAGGAGGTAGAGAATTAAAATACTAACATAGAAGTCAAACAATAGGAGGACATTAAGGAAGAGAGGGCTGTTAGCAATGTTCATTGTCCCAGGAAGCTATGACGAAGAAGGCTGAGGCTGAGAAATGGTGCTATAGGACATGACCTAGAGAAGATCCCCAATGGCACAGGAAGAGGGGAAAACAGAGGACAGAAAGGTTATATCTCTAACTTGGAATTTCCAAGTATAGAGTGCACCTTGTTCTAACCTTTACACATGAACACAATTTGCTAAAACACTACCTTTTGTTTCTATTTGTAAAAGGCAGGGAAAGTACTTTGAAATGTTACAGATGCTTTTTCTCTGTAATTATATATAGCAATAATTTGATCTATCTATATATTTTTTATAAATAACTATTTTGACACCATATTTACCTCAGATTGACTGTTTTTCCTGTCCCCTTGAGTATTATTTTTGATGTATTCTGGAGGTTTAGGACATTTCTTTTGGGAGTTAGGATTTTCTTTCAAACTAACGAGTTCTTCTGCAACAGGTGAGATTTGACTTTCTGGCACAAGAATCTGTTGGAGAATGTGGAAAAAAATATTTAAAACTGAAACCTATAGGACATCCTCAAAAACCATTGGATATCTCACACTTCCGAAGGTCAATTCTTTCCATATTCTATGTACTGTTATAATTTTTAGTCCTACAAAATAACTCAACTAAAGGCATCCACTTTTTCAAATGTTAATAGACCTAACAAAAGCTTTTGCATTAGTGGAAGGACATATACTTCTGATTTTTAAACTTACCAAAACTGATATTGATTAAAAACTTAATATCTATCTTCTGTACTCAAATAATCATTAATAATATGTCTAAAAATCATTAACATCTTATTGAAGCATTCATTATCCATGTTTAGACAATTTAATTTTTAGACAGTTACCCTACAACATGAACTTTTATTATTGTGCTATTATTTGAGTTAAACTTAGCTCAATGATTAAAATCAAGTAAGTTAGACACATACCTGTGATCCACTTGCATCAAAATGTATATGCACAGATGTTTGGGCAATTGAAATACCTTGTTTGCTGGTATACTCCTAAAATTAAATTAATTCAGTGATATCATTTTCTTCTAGCTCTTTCTATTTTAATATAATTATTTCCTACCTGTTTCAAAATTGCCAAATTATTTCAAGTCATTACTTTGTATATATAAATACATTTCTCAGAATACATTAATGACTCCCCACTAACCACAGTCTCCTTAGCCCGTCATTTTGGCAAGGGCTGCTCATAAACATATTCTCTGTTTTTCACCATAAATCTTTTACACTCTATAGACTGACTGTGCTCCCACCCCAATTCATGTTGAAACCCAAACCCCAATGTGATGGTGTTAGGAAGCAGGGCCTTTGGGAGGTGAAGAGCTAACCAAAATAGAGCCCTCATAAATGGTATAGTGCCCTAATAAAAGAGACCCAAGAGAGCTCCCTCACCTTTCCTACCCACCATGTGAGGACCCAGTGAAAAGATGGCCACTATGAACCAGGAAAAGTGCCCCCATGAGACACCATGTCTGCTGGTACCTTGGATCATGGACTTTCCAGCCTCCAGAACAGTGAGATATCAATGTTTGTTGTTTAAGCCACCTAGTCTATGGTATTTTTGTTATAGCAGTCTGAACTTGTCGACAGACTATTTCCCCCAACATAACATGAATTGTCACCTTGGATTTCCAATTAGACAATATCTAACTCATAATGTGGTGGAAAGGGTCTTACCTACTTTTATTCATCAACTTCAAAGGCCATTCAAACCCCATCTCTACAGCCTTTCCTTCAAGTCTGACTTCTAAAGAGTATTCTCTTCCCTCAATGTCTATACTTCATTTTCCTTATGTCACTTATTTACATTTTCTGAGGTTTATTCTGTAATTCTCACAAATTATATTTATTATCTTAAAAACAGGGCTTCATCTCATTTTATGTTTTAAATAGTTGGCAGGAATTCATTAAATGCTTTTAGTAGCTGCTGCTAATTTTGTCATCTGAAATTTTTCCTAATAGGTATCTCAAAGGGTATGGCTAACAATCTAATGGCTAGTCCAATACAAACTTAAAGAACTAAAAATCTATGTGTCATTTAAAAAATTACAGAAAAAAATTAATGAAACTTATAATCCCAAGTAACCAAGTTTCCAGAATCTGAAAATAATGGATTTTATTATAAATAGTTTAAACACTTACCCAATGTTTATTTGCACCAAAAAGTTTTTCTGTCACAATAGTGATTTCTAACGAAGCATCAAAATACAAAAGCAATTCTTTCCCTTCTGTGTTACTAATTTTTAAAATACTTTTCAGAATTATGGTCAGTAGCTTCTTCGATTCCTTCTCTGTACACAAACAAATCACACTGATTACTTTATATTCACTTCTATGATACTACTCTATAGGTATACTATAAATAAGAAAAGTATACAGCATATTCATAAAAGTAAATTTGATAAAGTTAACTTTTAGAATTTCACAGTATTTAAATTAATTCTAATATTATCTATGTAAACAAATCAAGTCAATTTTAAAATAAATTTTTTTTTAACTTGTTTTTCAGAGCCTCCCTTTCCTGATCTATAAATTAACAGGCCATAAAATAACTAATGAGCTAAAAGCTCTGAATATATTCTGAACACCAACAGGTTCTTAATAAATAGTCCTTGAACATATCTGAGAAAACTATTTTCTTAATTTAAAAGAGCTCATTCCATAAATAACTACATTTCTATACATAAGCATCTG